GTGTGCTCTTGGGCTGCAGAAGCACATTTGAGCCCTATGTATACTTTGAAAGAAGAATGTGGGAAACCTGCTACTTCTTCAGACTGAGCTCAGAAACATCCTCAGTGGACTTAGAGCCCTTGTCCACCTTAAATTTAGAAGGACTTAAGAAAATCTAAAAAGTTGTGCTTTGTTTCATAAAGTAGCAGATAGAGACACAGACCAATATGCTATCACCCAAGAGGGTTTGAGATTAGAGGTTTCTACAAGAAATCTACACAATTAGTAAGAATTTAATTATGCTAAAATAGAATTATTTTTGCTTTTCAATTACTTACATCAGGACTTTGTTTTCTGTTTCCCAATACACTGTGTCATAGTCAGCTTAACTCATGTCACTAAGAGCTGGTCATTTAGCAATCTAATAAAACCCAGCCCTAATCCTTATAAAATGCATTCCCACTGACTGATAAGTGATAATAAATTCTTCTTCTCCTTCCCAGCCTTTTTTCTACTTACTCTTTACTTTAAAAAATATTTTTAAAAGGCCATTAATACAATCCTATGAGCAAACTAACTTCAGCCTATTCTAGATGAGCTTCTCTGAGTGGGGTCAACCTAGGGTTTCATGACCTCTGGTCTGGGTCTCAGTGCAGTTGGGGACATAAAGTTTAGTCATAAAGGAATCACTGCCCAAAAGAAGTCAGCAGTACACTATAAGATTATTTTTGTTTCTTTTACATTTTTGACTACCAGCCAGCTCTTCCCTAGTACCACATATTTATTTATTTATTCTTTATTCTCTGAAACATCATTCATTTCTCAACAGGAGTTTCCAGGTTTGGATAAGCTAAGTCCTGCATGTTCAGGCACTAGCACCCCACGGGGAAATGTTCTGGCATCCCATAGTCCCATGAGTCCTGAGAACATGAAGATGACCCATCGTCACAGGTAAGGCCTTAGGACTGGAGTGGGTTCCCTCCAGAAAGGTAAGTCTGGAAGATAAGCGTCAGAGGAAAGGAGTTCCAGAAAGTGCTTTCATTCCCTCTTACACACACACACACACACAGCCCTGACATGGCTCCTGCCACAGGATCTGCATTCTGTACCCAACCAATTACTTCCCTGGGTGATAGAAACATATAACTGCTATTGTAGAAACCCAGAGGAGGAGGCATCAGGGAAAGTCTTAAAGGATGATTATAGAAGCTCATTAGGCAGAAAAAAAAATGGGGTGGCTCAAGTGCAGTATTCAAGAGTGTGGAAGGGGGCTAACTCCCAACTCTGAATGGGATTTGTTCATGCAGGCTTTTGGCTTGATCCCAAGGGGAATAAGAATCATAGATTGTTTTAAGGAAAAATATAACATGGTGATGTGCACATTGAAGGTGTGGCTGCCCAGAAGTCAGAAGTTCAGGCCTGACTCTGCTCAACTGAGGATATTCAGAGTCCCTGAGGAAGGAAAGCTAGGTTTGGGAGAAGAGGTCAGAGAAAGGAGTCTCTCACTTAGATTTGTTTTCCATGGTGAACAGCAACATGGCAGACTGAGCACTATGTAAATGAGAAGGAACAAATGAATGAAGGGCTTCCTGGTATTGATAGAGGAAATTTATTGGCAAGCCTATGGCCACAGGTATGGAAAGAAGCCCACAGATAGTTCACAGCCATCTATTTTGATAGCTTCCCAATTCAACAACTCTAACCTAGAAGCAGGGATAGTCACTGTCTTAGACTAACATCCCACAGCAAGGGAGAGATAGGATTTTTGACTTGATTCCATTTCTCTCTAATTCTTCCTTAAAAACCACTAATATCATCAGACCCAGTAGTTATAAACCATTTAACTCTAAATAGAGGTTATGCCAGCCCCATAGGCCTTCCCGGACCAGGGGCTCCCAAGCAGCAGAGTGGGGCTTAGGATTATTCCAGGCCTCAGATGGGTGTGAACATTGGCTCTGGAACTGCCCCAAACCAGTGGTGGCCAAGGCTGATGATGCCCATTTCACACATTCCTCCACTGCCCCTACCACCCAGCATATTTTCTCAGCCATGGCCTGATTCCTCCCTATTTCCCACTCTTGCTCACAGCCCCATGAACTTGATGGGCACAGGCCGCCATTCATCATCCTCTCTCTCCTCACATGCGTCTAGCGAAGCAGGAAACATGGTGATGATGGGTGACAGCTCCATGGGCGACGCTCCTGAAGATCTGTACCACCACATGCAGGTACTAGAGCTATCCAAGGAGAATGGGCAGGATATGCCTATAGGACTCACCTTTCTATTTGGGGGTCTGATCTGAGGGCTGGCAACCCTGCTTAATTCTCTAACTCAATTCAGTACACCTATCTTCAGAGCTAGCAAATTGCCTTCTTTCTACATACCATTCCAAGTCTCAGTTCCCAGGCCTTATTTCCCAAGAAAACCAGCTTCAGTATTGGATGCTTTCACAAATCCCATGGGGAAAGATCCTCTGCCAGATTGTTCTCCTGCTTCTTACTGATAGCCAAGTCCTGCACACCAGATGAGCACATAGTAGTAACTCAGCAGCCCTGGTACACATAGGTGGTATGGCAATCCCTAGTGTCAGCCATCAGACTGACCTCCATCAGGGCCAAGGGTACAGCAGGCGGCACTGGGCCTGGTTATTCAGGGTGTAAAAGAACCAACTCTCTGTCAGCCCTACAGTCCTGATTATTCAGAACTCTATCATGCTGATTTTTCTCCCTTTGCAGCTCACATATCCCAACCCCAGGTACCAGGGCTCAGTCACCAACGTCTCTGTTCTGTCCTCGTCCCAGGCAAGCCCTTCATCCTCCAGCCTGAGTTCTACTCACTCAGCACCCTCCCAGATGATTACCTCTGCCCCTTCCAGCACCCGAGGTAAGGATGGCAAGGTGCTGCTTACAGAAGGAAGAGGAGAGGGTTTCTTGGACCCCACTCATCTTTCTTTTTCCAGTGACTGTCTGAAATTGTACCTGTGACTTAGAGAATTCTCATGTGTGCTTACAGCACCAAGGAGTGAAGGGCTTCTGCCTCCAAATCTCTTTCTCCATCTCGCTTTAGACCATGCCACTGGGTAGCCAGAATTGAAACCCTCTCAGTAAAAGGACCCAGCCTAGGAGAAAGCTCAGTTCTTTCTCACTGAAATGTTTGCAAGAATAAAGATCAAAATCAAGGCAAAAAATGGGTATTTTGTCTTGCGGAATCAAGCAAGATGAGAAAATATGAAGAGTCAAATTGAAGGCTAAAATTGACAGTGGAAAATGTTATTCTAAAACAGAAATAACCACTAAAAGAACTTTCTTCACTTGGGAAGGGCTTAATCAGGAGAGATGGCTTTGTAAAAACCTAGTATCTTTGCCAATTATTGCTTGATTTCTTATTCAGTTGAATAAATATTGTTTTTCACAGTTTGATCCTAGTTTCTGCAGTGAAAGTTGATTCTGTCCTTTTAGAAAGAAACATTTCCTTTGGTATGGCCATCAACTATAGTATATAATGGTCTAGTGATTCTCAGGGGTAACTATACAAGATAGTAACAATGGTCTAAGCTTACAAGCAAGTGAATGGCTATAGCTTCCAGGCTTCAGGGAGGGGGGTCTTTTTGTTTTTCTCATTATTATGAATACAAATAAAAATAGCACAAACTTAAGACATGGAAGGTCATTAAGGAAAGAATCTCTCCAAAGCACACAAACCAATGAGGCACACAATAGGAAAGATAGAGGGAATTTAACATGTGTGGCATAGTAAAAAGATGTAGTGGAATTGGGAAAAGCCTTATCAAAGTGGAGAGAAGGGAAATAAAGTTATAATAGGGCACTTGCAGACTTCCTTCTGAAGCATCCAGTCCAACCCCTCATCCCTATGGGGAAACAGGTCTAATGAGAGAGAAAAGCTGAATTTGGAGTACAGGTCTTTACACTTAACCAGTCTTTAGTCTCATGCCTATTGCCTTCCTAACATGGACTATGTGATCCAAACAAGGGGAGCTAGCATTTGGAAGCATACCTCTCTAGTGTTAAGCAAGACAAATAAACCAACAAATTGGTACATACTGATGATTTGTCAGATTGTGAAGGCTACAGACATAGAGAAAGAACAGTAATTTGTATTAAAAAGACACAATGGCTGGGGTTATATCAGTGGAAGAGTACTTTCCTAGCATGTGTGAGACACTGGGTTCAATTTCTCAACACCACATATAAATAAAGTAAAGGTTCATTGACAACTAAAATATATGTATTATTTATTTATACACACACACACACACACACATATTTTTAAAAAAGAAGAAGACACAAGCAGGTACAATGGTATACACCAATAATACCAGCAGCTCAGTAAGTTGAGGCAGAATGTCCCAAGTTCAAGGCCCACCTCAGCAACTTAGTGAGACCCTGCCTCAAAATAAAAACTAAAAAGGAGGGCTGAAGTTGTGGCTTAGTGTCAGAGTGCTTGCCTTGCACATGGAAGCACTGAGTTTGATCCTCAGCACCACATAAGAATAAATAAACAAAATAAAGATAAACAAAAAAATAAAAAGGACCGGAAATGTTAACTCTCTGGGGGTGGGAGAAGGACACACTGAAAAATGACTTTGGGAATAAAAAAGAGGAACCCCTAAGAAGTAGCCATGAACACTGTAGTGTACATCATATCTAGCTATTCTCACTGAAAACAGATTTCTGAGTCCTGATTATTGATAGACAGAAGACAGTAAAAGATGGACATTTTAGCTCAGTTCCATTCTGACACTGCTCAGACTCTCCTCTATGCTATGGTTGCTATCAGGGACTTAATAGACTGTCATCACTTGTGTCCTTAGCTAACTAATTACTGATTTATTCACTCAAAGCTTTTACTGAGTGCCCAGTTAGGAGGCTGTGTGACTCTTGCCTCAGAGAGTACTACGTAAGAGTGGAATAGAAATTATTTTCTCCTTATTTGGAAACAACTCTTCACTATTTCAAATTGCCTATTTATCTGTCACTGCATAATAAACCACACACAAAACATAGTGTCTTAAAACAATTTATTACTATGTCTAAGTCTGAGTTAACAGCTCACTGAATTAGATGTTACTTCGGACTGGAATCATTTAAAGGTTCAATTGGGCTGGATGTCCAAGTTGGTTCACTTAAATGGCTACCAGTTGATCAGATAGCTGTCGGGAGGAGCTTAACTAGGGCTGTCAACTTGAGCTCCTACATATGACCTTTCCAAATGGCTTAGGCTTCTCTTAGCATGACTGCTGATTTTCCCCAGAATCAGCACTCCAAGAGACCCAGGTAGAACCTGCAAGGATTTTTATTACCTAGCTTTGGAAATCCTAGAAACTCTCTTTGCCTCATTTCTGTTAGCTAGCAAGTCACTAAAGCCAAATCAGATGCCAAGGAGGGGGGTCAAATTCCATAACATATTTTAGAGTATTTTAAGAGAGATGATTACCAGTTTTGGTGACAAACTAGGGCCCAAAGTAGGGAAAGATGGCAAGGGCAGAGGCAACAAGAAAGAGAAGTTACTTCTAGACCACAACACTCATACAACCCATGTGTTGACCCAATATCTCATCAGGAACAGTGTTAGACTCTGTAAAAGGCAGAAAACTGTGTATGACATCAAAGAAGAAGACAGATGTGGTAGATGCAGTAATAGATATTCCTAGACAAAGGGAGTGATGTACTCCATTTGGGTAAATGAGGAGAAAGTTTTCATGGAGAAGGTGGTCTGGAGCAGAGTCCTTTACATTGGAGTTACTTCCCCACTCCCAGTAGTCATGAGACCATACCCATTGACCCTGCTGTTCTCCCTGTTGCTTTAGAAACCTGAGATGAATGACCTGCAAAGAATCCTCTAAACTCTTGTAAGTCAGCAACTCCCCCTGGTGGTCAAAAGACTGAGTGGGACTAGAAAGTAGGATTATGAGTAATCGATCCTTCTTTGAAGAACTCAATCACTCAGTCACTGGATCCTAGACTCCCTGCAGATTCTTAGAATACATCTGAAGTAGTTCAGAAGTCCCATAAACATATAAACACTTATATTTAAATTCCATCATGAAAATAACCATCACCCTCTCCTACCATGGAATTGGCTGCCCAGGGCAGTGGGAAAGAAGCAAGTTAGTAGAGATGGAGAAATTAGTGCTAACACAGCACTCCCTTGTTAGAGGGAGCCACCATAACATGAATTCAAATCCTCAAGTCAAATATTAGCCAATTACATGAATAAAATCATAACGTGAATCAAATCCTCACCAGAGCCTGGACTTTCCTGGGTCTGCATACTTATGTCCCTCCATCCTAATCCCCACAGTATGGATCAGGATATTAAGTATGCAAATAAAAAATCATGGACAGCCTTTGGAAGGCAGTTCCAATACACTCCTGCTGTGGAATGAGCATTAGATAGGAGTTTGATGCAAATGAATTGATGTAAAGATTCTGGGGTTTTTTGGTTTTGTTTAATTTGTACCTGCTACATGTAAGGCAGTCCTATCCCGTGAGCCCACAGGGTCAGGGAGCATTCTGGATTTCTTTCTGGAAAGTACTTTTAAAAATTAGTAGGATTTGAAGGTTTTTTTTTTCTTTTTTCTTTACATAGCCATCTTCTTGAGGTAGTCTGTGAATACAAATTCTAAAAGAGAACACAGAAATAAATAAAATCACAAAATGGTAGCAAATTCAGGCCCAATTTTTCAAAGAATTCTACTATATTCAGTCCCCTACCAGTGAAGGACATTTTAAAGAGTAGGTCTCAAAGCTAGCCCTGAGGTTCTACAAACAGGATCACTCAGACCAATTGTGGAAGAAGTTACATAAAAACTATGGCAAAAGTACCTTATTGGTATTGATTATGATGATTTCTTGCAAGTACTAAACTTCAACATGGACTAAAATGAATTCAACAACTCTGGGGCAAGTTGGCTGAATATGACTATGTTTTAGCTTTGTCCTGACAGTGCTAACATTGCACACTCAAAGGAAAATCCAAGAGAACCTGTGTTTGGGGGACAGAGAATCTAGAAGCTGAAGATTCACCTAGAGCCTGTGGGCTATCAATTGTATAGTTTCTCGGGGCACAACACAAAGAAGGGTTTCACTTGAGCCAGCCAGAGGCATTGGGGTCCAGGTGACCTCCCCATGATGGAATCAGTGCCCCTTAGCTTCTCAATAGATATGCTGGTATGTGGCACAATGAACAGTGCACATTTGGAGTGCTATCCAAATTACCCATATCTCAGGAAAGCCAGCAAGTTATTCTTTCTGCTTCTGTGGAAGGTCTTCCTGAGGACCACAGGTTGGCAAATTCCTCAACCTATCACAATATCCCCTGGGGCCAGGGGAGGTCAATGCAGAGCCTTCATAGAACATGTACTTGGGAACCTGGGGTAAAGCCCCATAACTTCCAGATTAATTTTGTTCCCCCAGCCATCCTGGCTCTAGGCTTCAATAGAACTAACAGGAAGGCAAAAGCCAGGTTCTGGGGACCTGGAATCTGAGAGGGACAAGCCCCTGGGAAAAAGTGGCCAGTGGCCAGCTAAGAATAGGGCTGCTACTATCAGGAGAAGGTAAGTGCATGGGGAGACCCACTATGTCAAATCAGAACTATGTGGCTATTATCTAAGTGTCTCTGTCTCTGTGTGATGGCTCCATTTCAAGCTGACCTGAACCCATGCCTGGGCCCCCTGAAAGAGCCCAGCATACAGGCCACAACCATGCCTTGAGAGCAGTGGATACAAGGGGCCCCTACCCATCTGCTCTAGTCCTCAACTCTCCTCACCCTTTGCCTTTGAGTGTTCCAAGGGGCTCTGTCAGTGGGTCTGCCTTGGCTGGAATACCAGGTGCAGCCCCCACCATCTAACCACCAGATTCCACTTCATTCCTCTTGTATTTGCTTAGCTCACCCCAACTGCAAGTAACACCTACCCTGATCCCCCAGTCCTGAGGATGTTTGACAGCAGGGCCCTTCATCTGTGGTTTGTCATCTGTGCGTGATTGTTCTCACTTGGTTACAGGCTCTCCCTCTCTGCCAGATAAGTACCGCCACGCCCGGGAAATGATGTTGCTGTTGCCCACACACCGGGACCGCCCAAGCAGTGCCATGTATCCAGCAGCCATCCTGGAAAATGGACAGGTAGCAGACCCAACCTACTAACTGCCTTCTGAAACCATAAATGTGTTGGCTTGGACTCCCCTCATTGCATTTGCTGGGCTTTCCACATTGTCCTGCATGCCTCCCTCATCCTGCTATAAGAAGGCTGCTTTACTCCTGGATGAAGAATGTAGTATGAATAAATTCTAGTACCAGCAATCCAGAATGCAGGTATGGGTAGAATGGCATCAGGGTTGGAACCAGTATTGCTTGTGTGGTTATCCGTATTTCTGGCCAGCTTGCTAGGATGTCCTTCCTTCCTGTGGGTGTGCAGGGGAATCCTCACAGGGGCAAGGGCCTCTTATCTATCTATCCACTCTCACTACCTGCTAGGGTGCCTGTGCACACCATTCATCCAGCTCTCCAAACATCCTGCCTGGGGGCCTGGACCAAGAAGCTACAGCAATTAACTCACTCCCCTGTGAGTTATCCTTCTATCCAAGTTCATAAGTCACCTCCAAGTGATTATCACCTGGCCCCAGAGTGCCAAGAGTTTCTCAACATTACTTTCCCTGTGCCTGATTAGCCCTATAAAGCAGAGAGAACAGATTTGGTTGGCAGACACCAGTCAGAACAGCAGAGCCTATCGAACTCCAGGCTTGGGTGGTACCTTTTCTCTAACCTCAATGCTAACATGGAGCTCTATGGAGCCTCTTCAGAAGGCAAAAACTGTCAGTCTCCTGAGGGAAGCAGGATCCTTAAATCCTACCAGTGGGCCTCCCAGGCCAGACAAAAGGATGCAGATAGTTAAATACCTATGTCCTATTCACAGAGCCTGTACAAGACAACCTGGGTAGTGATTCAAATGTCCGTGGGAGTGCTCAGAACCAGATACCCCTGGACAGTATTCCCCAGGGCTGGCATGGAGTTCTCAGAGCATCTCAAACAGAAGCCATCCCATTGCTTTGATTTCCCCATCTGATCTTGGAACCTCCTGGCTCCTGTAGTCCATGCCTCCCAAGATGTAACTGGCTATTTTCCGCTTTTCTTTTTTCTTTTCTTCCTTCCCTCAGCCACCAAACTTCCAACGGGCCCTGTTCCAGCAAGTAGTTGGAGCCTGCAAACCCTGCAGTGATCCCAATTTATCTGTAGCTGAAAAAGGTATTGTTCTTCCTCCATGGGCTCCCCGACATCTGTCCCAATCTTGAGTGTCTGATTCTGGTCCCTGAGTACCAACGGGCCAGGTCTGAGCCACACCCCTATACCCAAGTGTGTCTATCTGTCCAGAATGCTAACCAATTACTATCTATGCTCACTATTTAATCCACAGCTGGTTTAGATCATGTCACTTTGAATCTCTGCTTCTTTCCAAGGCCCATCCTCAGAGAGGCTCCAGCTGCCACCTGTCCTAAGTCTAGCTTTATGGAAATTTGGGTATTGTGTGGGGGACCTCCCTAGGCACTTCCTGGCCAGCCCCAAAATTTAGCAGGCCCTTTGGTCCCTCTCAACTTGGGCCTTCAGGGACCTCTCTCCTTGAAGCTCAAAACAGGCTTGTGGGGGGAAAAAAAAAACTCCCAAGAGGAATGGAAAGGTAGAAAGGACATACCATGGCAAAGTGAAATTCCCAAACACAAACTTCTCCAGGGAAAGCCCTGTCAGCAGCTACTATGAGTCCATCTACATTTCAAGGCCATCAACCATACGATAAGACTGAGCAATCCTCCTTAGAACTGAGCCATTTAGATGGTGAGCATTTTATCCTACATTCTACTTCTACAAACTAATGGCAACAGCCTCTGACCCCTACTACATTGGCCTGAAGCCCCAGATAACTGAGTTAATTTCAACACAGAGCAATAAACTAAGTGGGGACAATGCCACCCAGATCCTGGCTCCATATCAGCCCTGTTCACATAGGTTCTCCTCCTCCTTTCGTCCATCTGTTGGAGTTCAGGGCCTACTCACTTCCCACCTATATTGGCCTGCCATCTGGCCCTCCAAAGCTGTATTCATGTTGTCATTGCACCTGTTCACCAACTGCTGTCTACTATCCCCACTGTCATTGTTCCTCCCCTGCACATCAGGACAGGAGGACAAAGACCTCTGTGTTCTCTTTAACTGGGTCCACAACCTGAGTACCTGGTGGGCATTGGTGCTAGATGGTCAGCCACAAAGTGCCTACTGAAGATGCCTTCCTACCTCAAGGCTACACATCCTGAAAACATGCAGTTCTTGGATTCCTGAACCTTTGACCCAAACCAAAGTGCCCCTTCTAGCCTTGAGGCAAGAAACCACAAGGATTTTTCATCACCTAAAATGCAGAGCAATCTCAGAACTAGCCAAGAGCCCCAACAGGTCTTCAGGGCTCTCATAAGTATTGATAGCCAGACCAAGATACTATACCAGCTGGACCCAGAAGCAACTCAGACCTCAGGCTAGACTACATCAAGAAGCTACACATGCCCATTCTAGGTATGGGAGGGAAAGAGTTGTCTCAGAACAAAGGCTGAGCCCCAAACAAGCATGTTCACACCACAAGGTCAGCACTTAGTGGGCAGAAAATTAGACATTTGCCCTGTGGCAACACATTAGCAAGTCTCCATCTGAATCCTCCAGGGCAGGAACTGTACATACTTGTCACCATTCTCTTGTCAGTTAGGGTCCTGAGTCTCCTTAGGACTCCACCTTTCTCTTACAGATATCTTTCTTCACCAGCAATTAAATACCATACTAGGCAAGCCTACTTTGGGGATAGGGGCTGTGCTGTGGGGACCTCAGTCCAGTGCTGGACAGTTGTTAATGCTGAAAAAGAGGACAAGATACTGGGAATTTCTCTTTCTTCTAAGATAGATCATTCAATCTTAGCCCCAGTGCATGACTAGCCTTTTGCTGCATGAAAAAGGTCCCTTGTCCCCACTGTTCACAAACTTCAAGCTAAGAGCCCAGCTTGGTGACTTCTGATTCACATGGAGTAGCTCAGGAAGGCACTCTTTTGTAAACCATTACATCCTTGCCAGCTTTCCTCCCCCCATATCCTTCCTACCCTTGAGTTTCCTCAGGTCCTTGTAAGTGAACTTTTGCAGTCCCAACAATTCTTCCAGGAACTAGGTGTGCATCTGAGATCATGGGCTGTTGGAATCCCTTTGGGGAAGCTCCTCAGACTCACCTCCAAGCTTTCCCCCCAAGATCTATGGCTTTTTATGTAGATGGTGCTTTTCTTTCTTTTTTTGGGGGGGGGGCAGCGGGTGGATGGTGCTTAGTACTGAAGACCAAGAAGCTCCTGCTGCATCTTGGCAAGAGCCTGGGCAAAGATGGACCTCTTCTTTGGGTGGCTTAGGCTTTCTGAGGAGACTGCTGATGGAATCCACTTGATGCTCATCAGATTTAGAATTCTTTCCTCCCTGATGGCAACAGCTGAGCATCTGCCCTCTGCCCAATGGTTGCCACACCCCTCCTTCCTGCCACCAGGCAACAACTGAACAGTCCTCCTTAGAAATGAAACTGTTTAGATAATGGAATTTTACCCTGTGTTCTTCTGAAAG